CAATATGTGTTTATGTGTGTGTGTGTGTATCTTGGTTGACAATATGTGTGTATGTGTGTATCTAGGTTGACAATATGTGTGTGTGTGTGTGTATCTAGGTTGACAATATGTGTGTATCTAGTTTGACAATATGTGTGTATCTAGGTTGACAATATGTGTGTATCTAGGTTGACAATATGTGTGTATCTAGGTTGACAATATGTGTGTATGTGTGTATCTAGGTTGACAATATGTGTGTATCTAGGTTGACAATATGTGTGTATGTGTGTATCTAGGTTGACAATATGTGTGTATGTGTGTATCTAGGTTGACTGTATGTGTGTGTACCTAGGTTGATAGTGTGTATGTGTGTGTACCTAGGTTGATAGTGTGTATGTGTGTGTACCTAGGTTGATAGTGTGTATGTGTGTGTACCTAGGTTGATAGTGTGTATGTGTGTGTACTGGGTTTGATAGTGTGTATGTGGTGTACCTAGGTTGATAGTGTGTATGTGTGTGTACCTAGGTTGATATGTGTGTACCTAGTGATAGTGTGTATGTGTGTGTACCTAGGTTGATATGTGTGTATGTGTGTGTACCTAGGTTGATAGTGTGTATGTGTGTGTACCTAGGTTGATAGTGTGTATGTGTGTTGTACCTAGGTTGATAGTGTGTATGTGTGTTGTACCTAGGTTGATAGTGTGTATGTGTGTGTACCTAGGTTGATAGTGTGTATGTGTGTGTACCTAGGTTGATATGTGTATGTGTGTGTACCTAGGTTGATAGTGTGTATGTGTGTGTACCTAGGTTGATATATGTGTGTACTAGTTGATAGTGTGTGGTACCTAGGTTGATAGTGTGTATGTGTGTGTACCTAGGTTGATAGTGTGTATGTTGTGTGTACCTAGGTTGATAGTGTGTAATTGTGTGTGTACCTAGGTTGATAGTGTGTATGTGTGTGTACCTAGGTTGATAGTGTGTATGTTGTGTGTTACCTAGGTTGATAGTGTGTATGTGTGTGTACCTAGGTTGATAGTGTGTATGTGTGTGTACCTAGTTGATAGTGTGTATGTGTGTGTACCTAGGTTGATAGTGTGTATGTGTGTGTACCTAGGTTGATAGTGTGTATGTGTGTGTACCTAGGTTGATAGTGTGTATGTGTGTGTACCTAGGTTGATAGTGTGTATGTGTGTGTACCTAGGTTGATAGTGTGTATGTGTGGTGTACCTAGGTTGATAGTGTGTATGTGTGTGTACCTAGGTTGATAGTGTGTATGTGTGTGTACCTAGGTTGATAGTGTGTATGTGTTGTACCTAGGTTGATAGTGTGTATGTGTGTGTACCTAGGTTGATAGTGTGTATGTGTGTGTACCTAGGTTGATAGTGTGTATGTGTGTGTACCTAGGTTGATAGTGATGGTGGTACCTAGGTTGATATGGTGTTTTGTGGTGTATAGTGTGATAGTGTGTGTACCTAGGTTGATAGTGTGTATGTGTGTGTACCTAGGTTGATAGTGTGTATGTGTGTGTACCTAGGTTGATAGTGTGTATGTGTGTGTACCCTAGGTTGATAGTGTGTATGTGTGTGTACTAGGTTGATAGTGTGTATGTGTGTGTACCTAGGTTTGATAGTGTGTATGTGTGTGTACCTAGGTTGATAGTGTGTATGTGTGTGTACCTAGGTTTATAGTGTATGTGTGGATCCTAGGTTGATAGTGTGTATTGTGGTGTACCTAGGTTGATAGTGTGTATGTGTGTGTACCTAGGTTGATAGTGTGTATGTGTGTGTAACCTAGGGTTGATAGTGTGTATGGTGTGGACAGGTTGATAGTTGATGTGTTGTGTACCTAGGTTGATAGTGTGTATGTGTGTGTACCTAGGTTGATAGTGTGTATGTGTGTGTACCCTAGTTGATATGTGTATGTGTGTGTACCTAGGTTGATAGTGTGTATGTGTGTGTACCTAGGTTGATAGTGTGTATGTGTGTGTACCTAGGTTGATAGTGTGTATGTGTGGTGTACCTAGGTTGATAGTGTGTATGTGTGTGTACCTAGGTTGATAGTGTGTATGTTTGTGTTACCTAGGTTGATAGTGGTGTATGTGTGTGTACCTAGGTTGATAGTGTGTATGTGTTGTGTACCTAGGTTGTATAGTGTGTATGTGTGTGTACCTAGGTTGATAGTGTGTATGTGTGTGTACTAGGTTGATAGTGTGTACCTAGGTTGATAGGTGATGTGTGTGACCTAGGTTGATAGTGTGTATGTGTGGGTACCTAGGTTGATAGTGTGTATGTGTGTGTACCTAGGTTGATAGTGTGTATGTGTGTGTACCTAGGTTGATAGTGTGTTATGTTGTGTGTACCTAGGTTGATAGTGTGTATGTGTGGTGTACCTAGGTTGATAGTGTGTATGTGTGTTGTACCTAGGTTGATAGTGTGTATGTGGTGTTGTACCTAGGTTGATAGTGTGTATGTGTGTGTACCTAGGTTGATAGTGTGTATGTGTGTGTACCTAGGTTGATAGTGTGTATGTGGTGTGTACCTAGGTTGATAGTGTGTATGTGTGTGTACCTAGGTTGATAGTGTGTATGTGTGTGTACCTAGGTTGATAGTGTGTATGTGTGTGTACCTAGGTTGATAGTGTGTATGTGTGTGTACCTAGGTTGATAGTGTGTATGTGTGTGTACCTAGGTTGATAGTGTGTATGTGTGTGTACCTAGGTTGATAGTGTGTATGTGTGTACCTAGGTTGATAGTGTGTATGTGTGTGTACCTAGGTTGATAGTGTGTATGTGTGTGTACCTAGGTTGATAGTGTGTATGTGTGTGTACCTAGGTTGATAGTGTGTATGTGTGTGTACCTAGGTTGATAGTGTGTATGTGTGTGTACCTAGGTTTGATAGTGTGTATGTGTGTGTACCTAGGTTGATAGTGTGTATGTGTGTGTACCTAGGTTGATAGTGTGTATGTGTGTGTACCTAGGTTGATAGTGTGTATGTGTGTGTACCTAGGTTGATAGTGTGTATGTGTGTGTACCTAGGTTGATAGTGTGTATGTGTGTGTACCTAGGTTGATAGTGTGTATGTGTGTGTACCTAGGTGATAGTGTGTATGTGTGTTACCTAGGGTTGATAGTGTGTATGTGTGTGTACCTAGGTTGATAGGTTGTATGTGTGTGTACCTAGGTTGATAGTGTGTATGTGTGTACCTAGGTTGATAGTGTGTATGTGTGTGTACCTAGGTTGATAGTGTGTATTGGTGTGTACCTAGTTGATAGTTGTGTATGTGTGTGTACCTAGGTTGATAGTGTGTATGTGTGTGTACCTAGGTTGATAGTGTGTATGTGTGTGTACCTAGGTTGATAGTGGTACCTAGGTATGTGTATGTGTGTACCTAGGTTGATCGTGTGTATGTGTGTGTACTAGGTGATAGTGTGTATGTGTGTGTACCTAGGTTGATAGTGTGTATGTGTGTGTACCTAGGTTGATAGTGTGTATGTGTGTGTACCTAGGTTGATAGTGTGTATGTGTGTGTACCTAGGTTGATAGTGTGTATGGTGTGTGTACCTAGGTTGATAGTGTGTATGTGTGTGTACTAGGTTGATAGTGTGTATGTGTGTGTACCTAGGTTGATACGTGTGTATGTGTGTGTACCTAGGTTGATAGTGTGTATGTGTGTGTACTAGGTTGATAGTGTGTATTGTGTGTAACCTAGGTTGATAGTGTGTATGTGTGTGTACCTAGGTTGATAGTGTATGTGTGTACCTAGGTTGATAGTGTGTATGTGTGTGTACCTAGGTTGATAGTGTGTATGTGTGTGTACCTAGGTTGATAGTGTGTATGTGTGTGTACCTAGGTTGATAGTGTGTATGTGTGTGTACCTAGGTTGATAGTGTGTATGTGTGTGTACCTAGGTTGATAGTGTGTATGTGTGTGTACCTAGGTTGATAGTGTGTATGTGTGTGTACCTAGGTTGATAGTGTGTATGTGTGTGTACCTAGGTTGATAGTGTGTATGTGTGTGTACCTAGGTTGATAGTGGTGTATGTGTGTGTACCTAGGTTTGATAGTGTGTATGTGTGTGTACCTAGGTTGATAGTGTGTATGTGTGTGTACCTAGGTTGATAGTGTGTATGTGTGTGTACCTAGGTTGATAGTGTGTATGTTGTGTACCTAGGTTGATAGTGTGTATGTGTGTGTACCTAGGTTGATAGTGTGTATGTGTGTGTACCTAGGTTGATAGTGTGTATGTGTGTGTACCTAGGTTGATAGTGTGTATGTGTGTGTACCTAGGTTGATAGTGTGTATGTGTGTGTACCTAGGTTGATAGTGTGTATGTGTGTGTACCTAGGTTGATAGTGTGTATGTGTGTGTACCTAGGTTGATAGTGTGTATGTGTGTGTACCTAGGTTTGTAGGTGTATGTGTGTGTACCTGGTGATAGTGTGTAGTTGGACCTAGGTTGATAGTTGTGTATGTGTGTGTACCTAGGTTGATAGTGTGTATGTGTGTGTACCTAGGTTGATAGTGTGTATGTGTGTGTACCTAGTTGATAGTGTGTATGTGTGTGTACCTAGGTTGATAGTGTGTATGTGTGTGTACCTAGGTTGATAGTGTGTATGTGTGTGTACCTAGGTTGATAGTGTGTATGTGTGTGTGTACCTAGGTTGATAGTGTGTATGTGTGTGTACCTAGGTTGATAGTGTGTATGTGTGTGTACCTAGGTTGATAGTGTGTATGTGTGTGTACCTAGGTTGATAGTGTGTATGTGTGTGTACCTAGTTGATATTGTATGTGTGTGTACAGGATAGTGTGTATGGGGTGTACCTAGGTTGATAGTGTGTATGTGTGTGTACCTAGGTTGATAGTGTGTATGTGTGTGTACCTAGGTTGATAGTGTGTATGTGTGTGTACCTAGGTTGATAGTGTGTATGTGTGTGTACCTAGGTTGATAGTGTGTATGTGTGTGTACCTAGGTTGAAGTGGTATGTGTGTGTACCTAGGTTGATAGTGTATGTGTGGTACCTAGTGATAGTGTGTATGTGTGTGTACCTAGGTTGATAGTGTGTATGTGTGTGTACCTAGGTTGATAGTGTGTATGTGTGTGTACCTAGGTTGATAGTGTGTATGTGTGTGTACCTAGGTTGATAGTGTGTATGTGTGTGTACCTAGGTTGATAGTGTGTATGTGTGTGTACCTAGGTTGATAGTGTGTATGTGTGTGTACCTAGGTTGATAGTGTGTATGTGTGTGTACCTAGGTTGATAGTGTGTACCTAGGTTGATAGTGTGTACCTAGGTTGATAGTGTGTATGTGTGTGTACCTAGGTTGATAGTGTGTATGTGTGTGTACCTAGGTTGATAAGTGTGTATGTGTGTGTACCTAGGTTGAAGTGTGTTGGGTGGTACCTAGGTGTGTGTGTATGTGTGACTAGGTTGAATAGTGGTGGTAATGTGTGTGTACCTAGGTTGAGCGTGGTGTATGGTGTGTACCTAGGTGGTGTGTGGGTACCTAGGTTGATAGTGTGTATGTGTGTGTACCTATGGGTGATAGTGGTGTATGTGTGTGTACCTAGGTTGATAGTGTGTTGTGTGTGTACCTAGGTTGATAGTGGTATTTGGTGTGTGTACCTAAGGTTGATAGGTGTATGTGTGTGTACCTAGGTTTGATAGTGTGTATGGGTTTGTGTACCCTAGGTTTGATAGTGTGGTATGTGTGTACCTAGGTTGATAGTGGTGTATGTGTGTGTACCTATGGTTGATAGTGTGATATGTGTGTGTACCTAGTTGATAGTGTGTATGTGGTGTGGTACCTAGGTTGATAGTGTGGTATGTGTGTGTACCTAGTGAAGTGTATGTTGTGTAGTATGGTGTAGTGGTATGTGTGTGTACCTAGGTTGACATTGAGGCGGACACGGCTCCCATCCAGCTCCAGTCGGAGCGTGTCGGCTGAGTTCCGTGATGTTGTTGCCATGAGAACACCGTAGGCCCGCTGGGAACGAAAACGTAGCGACACGTCCTCTGCTTCAGTGTGCATCGCTACGGGCAACTGGACCTTCATAAACTTACTACCATCATAGGATAGGATGGTGGCATCTAGAAAGGGGGGAGGGAGGGGAAGTTATTAACATCAGGCAGTGACCAGAAAAGACCAGTCCAGACGAGACCAGATCAAACCAGTGTCTCCAGTTTGATTTAAATTCCAGAAAATATTCAATTCAAAGCTGTTTTCCATGTGATTGCTGAGAGAGAGAGAGATGATTCTACACTTGTTCCTATGCCTCTTCCTTTCTTTGATCTCTCTCTCTCTAGTGGTGAGTGTCAGTGTTTCAGGTCTCTCTCTCCCTCTCTCCCTCTCTCCCTCTCTCCCTCTCTCCCTCCCTCCCTCTCTCCCTCCCTCTCTCCCTCTCTCCCTCTCTCCCTCCCTCCCTCCCTCCCTCCCTCCCCGTGGGACACTGTTGCAGGCAAAAACAAGAGAACAGGAAGAGAGAAGGTCTCATGAATACTAATGAGCTCAGAGTGTGTGTGTGTGTGTGTGTGAATAAGTGAGTGAATTTCAGAGGGAACAGAAGAGTGCTCAGTAAAGCGAGCAAGGACAGAGCGAAGGAGAGATAGGGAGAAGGAGAGCAAGAAAGACAGAGGAAGAGCAGAAGAAAAGCTGTTGGCTAAAATGCTAATGAACCCTCATTAACTGGAGGTTAGCCTGTTATATCACGATAACATAACTAACACCAACACATACGCACACACACGCTGTGTAATTTCTAAACAGCTGACTAAATGAAATGAGGAAATGGTACTCCGCCAGAGCACCTGAAAGAAAGAGAGAGAGAGAGAGGGGGGGGGGGGGGGGTTCTACACGTTAACACTAGAAGCTTATTACCTAAGATGGATCAATTGAAAGTGTGGGTTCACAGCTTCAATCCAGATGTGTTGGTCATTACTGAGACGTGGTTAAGAAAGAGTGTTTTGAACACTGATGTTAACCTTTCTGGTTCTAACTTTTTTCAGCAAGACAGATCTTCCAAAGGTGGTGGATTGGCAATCTTTACCAAGGAACACCTTCATGGCTCGGTTGTCTCCACCAATTCTGTCCCCAAACAATTTGATTTGCTGGTTTTAAGCATTAAGCTTTCAAATAGCTCTTTGTTGACTGTTGCTGGGTGTTATCGTCCTCCATCAGCACCGGCCTGTACACTAAGCTCTCTCCTGGCCCCTTACACTAAGTCTGAATTTGTCCTGCTAGGTGACCTAAACTGGGAAATGCTTAAACCACCTGACCAAGTCCTAAAGCAATGGGACTCCCTAAATCTCTCTCAGATTATTACCAATCCACAAGGTATGACTCCAAACACCCAGAAAAGGCTACTCTCCTTGATGTTACCCTCACAAATAATCCTGATAGGTATCAGTCTGATGTTTTCTGTAATGACCTTAGTGATCACTGTTTTACAGCCTGTGTTTGTAAAGGCTGCTCAGTTAAACGACCTGTCCTGATTTGTCATAGACGCTTGCTGAAAAACTATCATGAGCAAGCCTTCCTTCATAACCTGGCCTCTGTAAATTGGTATAGAGTCAGCTTGATCCCCTCTGTCAAAGACGCTTGGACTTTCTTTTTTGATATTTTCAGTGGTATTGTTCATAAGCACGCCCCCATAAAGAAAATGAGAATTAAAAACAGGTTCAGCCCCTGGTTCGACCGTGAGTTATTCCACCTCAAGAACATAATTTGGCGAAACGCTCGGCACACAAATACTCAGGGATGACTGGCAAATGAAAAATAAGTGCACTCAGGCTATCCGGAAGTCTAAAGTTAGCTACTTTAAGGAGCAGTTTTCTCTCTGTGGGTCTAACCCCAAGAAATTCTGGAAAACGGTGAAAGACCTAGAGAATAAACCCTCCTCCTCACAGCTGCCCATGTCCCTTAATGTTGATGATCTGGTTGTTACTGACAAGGAGCACATGGCTGAGCTCTTTAAAATCACCACTTAATTAAATCAGGATTCCTATTTGACTCAGCCATGCCTCCTTGCCCATCAGGATTCCTATTTGACTCAGCCATGCCTCCTTGCCCGTCCAACATTTACTCATCTCCCAGCCCTTCTAAAGAGACTAGCCCCGATGCTCCTCCCTCTTTTTCCCCTGTCCCGCTACAAAGTTTCTCCCTGCAGGCGGTCAATGAGTCTGAAGTGCTAAAGGAAGTCCTTAAACTTGACCCCCAAAAAACATCTGGGTCACATGGTTTAGCTCCTTTCTTCTTTAAGGTTGCAGCCCCTATCATCGCCAAGCCTATCTCTGACCTTTTTAACCTGTCTCTCCTCTAGCGGAGGTTCCCAGTGCTTGGAAGGCAGCCACGGTGCATCCTTTATTTAAAGGGGGAGATCAAGCTGATCCTAACTGTTACAGTTTCTATTTTGCCATGTTTATCAAAAGTGTTGGAAAAACTTGTCAATAATCAACTGACTGGCTATCTTATTGTCTATAGTATTCTCTCTGGTATGAAATCTGGTTTCAACTGAGGTTATAGATGTCACAGATGTCACTGCAACCTTATGGATGTCACTGCAACCTTATGGATGTCACTTCAACCTTGTGGATGTCACTGCAACCTTAAAGGTCCTAAATTATGACACCATTGCCCTTGATTCTAAGCAATGTTGTGCTGCTATTTTTATTGATTCGGCCAAAGCTTTTGATACGGTAGACCATTCCATTCTTGTGGGTTAGCTAAGGAGTATTGGTGTCTCTGAGGGGTCTTTGGCCTGGTTTGCTAACTACTGCTCTCAAAGAGTGCAGTGTATAAAGTCAGAACATCTGCTGTCTCAGCCACTGCCTGTCACCAAGGGAGTACCCCAAGGCTCGATCCTAGGCCCCACGCTCTTCTCAATTTACATCAACAACATAGCTCAGGCAGTAGGAAGCCCTCTCATCCATTTATATGCAGATGATACAGTCTTATACTCAGCTGGCCCCTCACCGGATTTTGTGTTAAACGCTCTACAACAAAGCTTTCTTAGTGTCCAACAAGCTTTCTCTGCCCTTAACCTTGTTCTGAACACCTCCAAAAGAAAGGTCATGTAGTTTGGTAAGAAGAATGTCCCTCTCCCCACCGGTGTGATTACTACCTCTGAGGGTTTAGAGCTTGAGGTAGTCACCTCATACAAGTACTTGGGAGTATTGCTAGACGGTACACTCTCCTTCTCTCAGCACATATCAAAGCTGCAGGCTAAGGTTAAATCTAGACTTGGTTTCCTCCATCGTAATCGCTCCTCTTTCACCCCAGCTGCCAAACTAACCCTGATTCAGATGACCATCCTACCTATGCTAGATTACGGAGACGTAATTTATAGATCAGCAGGTAAAGGTGCTCTCGAGCGGCTAGATGTTCTTTACCATTTGGCCATCAGATTGGCCACCAATGCTCCTTATAGGACACATAACTGCACTCTATACTCCTCTGTAAACTGGTCATCTCTGTATACCCATTACTAGACACTGGTTGATGCTTATTTATAAAACCCTCTTAGGCCTCACTCCCCCTATCTGAGATACCTACTGCAACCCTCATCCTCCACATACAACACCCGTTCTGCCAGTCACAATCTGTTAAAGGTCCCCAAAGCATACACATCCCTGGGTCGCTCCTCTTTTCAGTTCACTGCAGCTAGCGACTGGAACTCAAATTGGACAGTTTTATCTCCATCTACACAATCAAAGACTCAATCATGGACACTCTTACTGACAGTTGTGGCTGCTTCGGGTGATGTATTGTTGTCTCTACCTTTTTGCCCTTTGTGCTGTTGTCTGTGCCTAACAATGTTTGTACCATGTTTGTGCTGCTACCATGTTGTGCTGCTGCCATGTTGTATTGCTACCATGTTTTTGTCATGTGTTGCTGCCATGCTGTGTTGTTGTCTTAGGTCTCTCTTTATGTAGTGTTGTGTGTTTTGTCCTACATTTTAAAAAAAATCCCAGCCCCCGTCCCCGCAGGAGGCATTTTGCCTCTTGGTAGGCCGTCATTGTAAATACGAATTTGTTCTTAACTGACTTGCCTAGTTAAATAAAGGTTCAATAAAAAACATAAAAAAGAGAGGGGGGGTAGAGAGAGGGAGAGAGAGGGGGGGGGGGGGGGGGGAAGAGAGAGGGGGGGGGGGGGGGGGGTAGAGAGAGGGAGAGAGTGAGAGGGGGTAGAGAGTGCTTCTGTCCCAACCAAGGAGGGCTTACTGCAGCACCTAGATCTTCTGCACAGATTCTGTCAGACCTGGGCCCTGACAGTTAATCTCAGTAAGACAAAAATAATGGTGTTCCAAAAAATACGAATACAAATTCCATCTAGACACCGTTGCCCTAAAGCACACAAAAAAACATCAGCGCCACAGGTAACTTCTACAAAGCTGTGAACGATCTGAGAGACAAGGCAAGAAGGGCCTTCTATGCCATCAAAAGGAACATAAAATTCGATGTACCAATTAGGATCTGGCTAAAAATACTTGAATCAGTTATAGAACCCATTGCCCTTTATGGTTGTGAGGTCCGGGGTGGGACAAACACCAAATTGAGACTCTGCATGCAGAATTCAGCAAAAATATCCTCTGTGTACAACGTAAAACACCAAATAATGCATGCAGAGCAGAATTAGGCCGATACCCACTAATGATCAAAATCCAGAATACCTGACCACTGTGACTGACCCAAAATTAAGGACATCTTTGACTATGTACAGACTCAGTGAGCATAGCCTTGTTATTGAGAAAGGCCGCCGAAGGCAGACCTGGCTCTCAAGAGAAGACAGGCTATGTGCACACTGCCCACAAAATGAGGTCGAAACTGAGTTGCACTTCCTAAACTCCTGCCAAATGTATGACCATATTAGAGACACATATTTCCCTCAGATTACACAGATCCACGAAGAATTCGAAAACAAACCCAATTTTGATAAACTCCCATATCTACTGGGTGAAATACCACAATGTGCCATCAAAGCACCAAGATTTGTGACCTGTTACCACAAGAAAAGGGCAACCAGTGAAGAACAAACACCATTGTAAATACAAACTATATTTATATGTTTATTTATTTTCCCATTTGTACTTTAACTATTTGCACATTGTTACAACACTGTATATATACATAATATGACATTTGAAATGTCTTTATTCTTTTGGAACTTTTGTGAGTGTAATGTTTACTGTTCATTTTTTATTGTTTATTTCACTTTTGTTTATTATCTATTTCACTTGCTTTGGCAATGTTAACGTACGCCAATAAAGCCCTTAAATTGAAATTGAATTGAGTAAGAGAGTGGGATGGAGAAAGATGGAGAGAGAGAGAGAAGGAGAGAGGTAAAACCGCAGGTAGAAGGTGGGAGCAATCACTCTCTCCAACTGTTTCTCCATCTGTCCATCCTTCTACTGATCCACCAGTTACGGGGGTTGATTCTCTCCCTTTCTCACTGCCTCTCGTTCTCTCTCTTTCACACAAATTGTTCAATTTCCATCTCCCTGTAGAGGACAGAGCTGAGGTGCGTGTGTGTTTGTTAGATATTGGCAAGACTAATAACTATCGTGGTAATGGAATCAGCTGCTTGACACTGACAACGTGATCTCTCTCCTCCCTCTCTCTGACTCATCTCCTCTCCTTTCTTTTCTTTCTCTCTCAGTCTCTAAGGGATTATATTTATCCATCCCTCACTCCATCTTCTTCCATCTCTCTCGGTCTGTCTCTTTTTCTATGTTGTATTGGTTCAGTATGACTGTTCAGGGGTAGTAACTATACAGTAGACAATGCTTTAAATAAACCAGAGATTAAATAACACGCCCGTCCTCCACCCTCTCTCCATCTCTCCCTCTTTCCCCCTCTCCTCACCTCTCTCACAGGCCCGTCCCAGGTATCCGGTCCCAGAGCAGTCACACACATATCTGTTCCAGCCCTCCCTGCAGAGGTCAGAGGTTGGGGTTAAAGGTCAAGTGTCGAGTCAAGTGTCATGCTAGAGTAGATCAAACTACAGACACACTGGAATTCCTACATTCAATTCACCATTCGCTAAGCACCGCCCCCCTGGTTACTGTTGCTACTTCGGAAGTCCAATTCCTCATTCAACCACTGGCAAAATCCCCTCACAATGATCTCAAACTGTGTTTTTAACACACAATGAAATTAAACAAAGACTACCCATCGCTAATCAGGAGACTCTCTGGGAAGTTGTGGTGGACTGTCATTACACTTGCTTTATGGGAACCTGGTCAAATGAAGTTTGTCGTGTGGCTAGCCAATGGATAGCTCTGAATTCACTGTCAGCATGCAGTCAAAGCTACTAACCACTTCTGGAGCTAACTAGTGCTCTCAAATCGTATCCTGATGTCAACAGCAGATGAGAATTATATTCATAGTATTGCTGAATAAGCTAGCTAACATACATTTGGAGAAAACAAGTTATAATAACTGGCTAGCTAGCTAGTGTTAGCAACGTTTTCGATGGTGGTCCCATGTAGCTCAGTTGGTAGAGCATGGCGCTTGCAACGCCAGGTTTGTGGGTTCGATTCCCACGGGGGACCAGTATGAAAATGTATGCACTCACTAACGGTAAGTCGCTCTGGATAAGAGCGTCTGCTAAATGACTAAAATATAAAAATGTGGTCATGCAATGAGCGCTAGCTAACCAGATAGCAAACAATGCAGCAAAAGTATAATTTCGGATTTGAAAAATACTAAATCTACAGCCTCTGCATTTCAGGAATCAATTATTGTTAATAAAATAAAAGATCCCAGTTTTTGCCATTGCCCTCATTGGCTTCCATGCGTTTGAAACATACAGTCTATCTATGGTTTGAAACGAGAGCTTGTTCTAGGCATTGGACTCGAGCTTGGCTAGCAACAGTTGTTATCCACTGAAGCGCTGAGATTGGTTGCCCAAAATTCTGGGGCGGGGCTTAGCGAAGGGTCAATTCAAGGTGCTTTATTGACATGAAATACATTCTGTAAATATGTCTACAAGTCTTCTCTCTGTCTAGTCCTTTAGAAACAGTCAAGCACACATCAACATATTCCCATACTGTACAGTAGAGTAGACTTGAGTAAGTAGAAGTGCAGCAGTACCTGCAGGTGGCGCTGTGTTGGCAGGGGTTGGACAGACACTGTTTAGGAGGCTCTCTGGAGCAGGAGGGTTTCACCCCCACAGCTCTCTGAGCCTCAGCCAGACGACGGATGTCCTTACTCTGACCGTCCACAAACAGGTCTCTCACACAGCCCACATATCCATAGTTCAACAACGCTGTCCACACCTACAGGGAGAAGGAGAGACAGATTATACACACACACACACACACACACACACACACACACACACACACACACACACACACACACACACACACACACACACACACACACACACACACACACACACAAACACACACACAGTCTTGCACAGCTAACCTTGTGGGGACACACAATTCAGTCCCATTCAAAATCCTATTTTCCCCAACCCTAAACCCTAACCCGTACTCTTACCCTTACCCTTACCTTAACCCAAAAACCTAAACCTAACCCTACCTCCTAACCCTAACCCTTAACGTAATTCTAACCTTAACACTAATTCTAACCTTAACACTAAACCCCCTAGAAATAGCATTTGACCTCTTAGGGACTAACAAAATGTCCCCAGTTGGTCAAATTTTTGTTTGTTTACTATTCTTGTGGGGACTTCTGGTCCCCCTACTGGACTTCTGGTCCCCACAAGAATAGTTAAACACGTCCACACACACACACACACCTCAGTAGGGAAGATGAGTCCTTGGCGGTCCTCCGGTAATCCTCCCAGGTACATAGTATCATCCAGGTCTAGAATCTCATTGTCCCCTGGAGCAGTGTACGCTGTCCGCTGTGAGTTCACTGAGATAGTACCTATATGCACACACACACACACACACACACACACACACACACACACACACAACGTTAGGGTTAAGAGGGATCAATGTATAGGGTGCACTGACACTTACTGTAAGTTGCTCAGAATGAGTCTGCTAAATGGCTCAAATGGTAATGTTAATATAAAGGTTAAGTTACCTTTCCCACTCACCACTTGCCAGGCCGTCATTGTAAATAAGAATCGCTCTTAATCGACTTGCCTGGTTAAATAAAGGTTAAATAAAATCAGATACCTGAGCGTCCATCCCTCTGGAAATCGACGTGGTACCACTCGCCATCGTTGACCTTCCTGTCGATGGCCTTGGTCTTGGTGGTTCCTGAGCCCATGTCCAATAGAAGGTATAGGTGACCGTCCAGCATCTCGATGGCAAAGAAATCCACCTGCAACAGTAACGGCAACAATAGAAAAGAACAGTACAATATGAACATCAACACCAACACCAACGGCAGTATAAACATCAACACCATCACCAGTATAAACATCAACACCATCACCAGCATAAACATCAACACCATCACCAGTATAAACATCAACACCATCACCAACATAAACATCAACACCAATACCAGTATAAACATCAACACCAACACCAACGGCAGTATAAATATCAACACCATCACCAGCATAAACATCAACACCAATACCGGTATAAACATCAACACCATCACCAGTATAAACATCAACACCATCACCAGTATAAACATCAACACCATCACCAGTATAAACATCAACACCATCACCAGTATAAACATCAACACCATCACCAGTATAAACATCAACACCATCACCAGTATAAACATCAACACCATCACCAGTATAAACATCAACACCAACGGCAGTATAAACATCGACACCATCACCAGTATAAATATCAACACCATCACCAGTATAAACATCAACACCATCACCAGTATAAATATCAACACCAACACCAGTATAAACATCAACACCATCACCAGTATAAATATCAACACCAACACCAGTATAAACACCAACACCAGTATAAACATCAATATAATATTAATGTATTTGTGTCTACCTTTAGGGTGGGGTGGATGTGAGGGTCTGTGTGGTTAATGTGTGTATGCATATGTGTGTGTGTGTGTGTGTGTGTGTGTGTGTGTGGTCTTACCTTGAGTTGGGGTGGTGAAAGAGGCGGTATGTAGTCAATGGGTGTATCTCAAATTGCATACTACCGTGCTCCGAGCATGCACATTGGAGCATGGGAGGGTCGGAGTTTGAGTCCAAATCAAAGTATGCGAAACGGAGCACGGATTGCACTTTACGAATGTGTACTGCGTACTCAGTTTGTACATATTCTGAAGCATGCATCGATGCAAGCGTCAACGGAAAGTATGCACAGAAATATGATGCAACCAAGTAAAGAATTACGTACAATTTATTGAAATCAATGGCGCCATTATTTGAGCTAAAGCGAGAGACAATACACTCCGACTTTGGAATGAAATGTTGCCTATTGACATCTCATATGTTGCCTGACTACAATATTTTATCTTAATACGGTAATTAATACATGCTGTGTTAATTTTGGCATGTTTACCTGTCTACAATACCCACTGTAGTGCGCGTAGATCGCAAGCCCATAGTAAGTCAATAGGGCTAACTGGCTAGCTACTACTGTTAGTTAGCCAAATAGCCACGAATAATTGTTAGCTAGCTAGCTACATACGATATATATATAAATACACATATATACACACATACATACATACACACATACATACATACATACATACATACATACATACATACATACATACATACATACATACATACATACATACATACATACATACATACATACATACATACATACATACATACATGAGAATGCTATTCATTGACTACAGCTCAGCATTCAACACCATAGTGCCCTCTAAGCTCATCACTAAGCTAAGGATCCTGGGACTAAACACCTCCCTCTGCAACTGGATCCTGGACTTCCTGACGGGCTGCCCCCAGGTGGTAAGGGTAGGTAACAACACATCTGCCACACTGATCCTCAACACGGGGGCCCCTCAGGGGTGCGTGCTCAGTCCCCTCCTGTACTCTCTGTTCACCCATGACTGCATGGCCAGGCACGACTCCAACACCATCATTAAGTTTGCCGACGACACAACAGTGGTAGGCCTGATCACCGACAACGATGAGACAGCCTAAAGGGAGGAGGTCAGAGACCTAGCCGTGTGGTGCCAGGACAACAACCTCTCCCTCAACGTGACCAAGACAAAGGAGATGATTGTGGACTACAGGAAAAAAAAGAGGACTGAGCACGCCCCCATTCTCATCGACGGGGCTGTAGTGGAACAGGTTGAGAGCTTCAAGTTCCTTGGTGTCCACATCACCAACGAACTATCATGGTCCAAACCCACCAAGACAGTCGTGAAGAGGGCACGACAAAGCCTATTCCCCCTCAGGAGACTGAAAAGATTTGGCATGGGTCCTCAGATCCTCAAAAAATTATACAGCTGCACCATCGAGAGCATCCTGACTGGTTGCATCACCGCCTGGTATGGCAACTGCTTGGCCTCCGACCGCAAGGCACTACAGAGGGTAGTGCGTACGGCCCAGTACATCCCTGGGGCCAAGCTTCCTGCCATCCAGGACCTCTATACCAGGCGGTGTCAGAGGAAGGCCCTCAAAATTGTCAAAGACTCCAGCCACCCTAGTCATAGACTGTTCTCTCTGCTACCGCACGGCAAGCGGTACCGGAGTGCCAAGTCTAGGTCCAAAAGACTTCTCAACAGCTTCTACCCCCAAGCCATAAGACTCCTGAACAGCTAATCATGGCTACCCGGACTATTTGCACTGCTCCCCCACCCCATCCTTTTTACGCTGCTGCTACTCTGTTAATTATTTATGCATAGTCACTTTAACTCTACCCACATGTACATATTACCTCAACTAGCCGGTGCCCCCGCACATTGACTCTGCAACGGTACCCCCCTGTATATATAGCCTCCCTACTGTTATTTTATATTACTTCTGCTCTTTTTTTCTCAACATTTTTTGTTAAAAATAAATGCACTGTTGGTTAAGGGCTGTAAGTAAGCATTTCACTGTAATGTCTGCACCTGTTGTATTCGGCGCATGTGACCAATAAAATTTGATTTGATTTGATTTGATGAGGGAAAAAAGTATTTGATCCCCTGCTGATTTTGTACGTTTGCCCACTGACAAAGAAATGATCAGTCTATAATTTTAATGGTAGGTTTATTTGAACAGTGTGTGTGTGTCTCTTTACCTTTAGGGTGGGGGGTGTGCGGGGGTCTTTGCGTTGCTGTTGCCGTGGTTTCCCGTGGCTGAAGAGCATCAGTCCATTGGGTTCTGTCGTTCTGAAGTCAAAGGAGATTGACCCCGCCTTCTTGGCGCTCCACTTGCTCAATGCCACAAACGATTCTGGGGTGTCAAAGGTCACGGGATCGAGGGTCGCCACGCTCTCACACTTAAACGCCACTATACCGCTCACCTGATGGATGGGAACGTTTTTTAAGTTAGTTTGTTCATCTCAATTATTTATTATTTATTTTGTATATTACTTATTTTCTTCAGGGCCCTGTAGTCAAATCGAATCAAATCAAATGTTATTTAAAGTGCATTTAAAAATGCCACACATTAAATCGAAACAACTAAATAAAGTGAAACACTGAGGAATAGGGCTGTGTAGCAATGGACTACATAAAGGGTACTGGAAACACTTTAGGAAGTAAATGTACAGTTACAGTTAGCTGGCATTCTAAATCCTAGTGTTTCCATTCCCCTTTAAGGGTTAGGATGTGATTTGACACCAGCCAATAAGAAACTATGATGTCTTACCTTCATTTTAGCATCTCCCTGCTTAGCCAGCCGAGACAACTCCAACCGTACATCATTGTTCTTATACACCACCTAGAGGTCAGGGTTGAGGGGTCAGGGTAAGGGTCAGGGATAAGAGGTTATTAAGGTAGAGAGCAAGAGTGCAAATCAATAGTCTTGTATCTCCTCTCTCCTTGTCTCCTCTCCTTCAGTCACAATGATCAGAACTAGTTGGACGGAAGAAAGCAAAGCCTCAGTTATCACTGTCATGTTGCTTCCACCAAACCTGTGTTTCCATACCAGTCTAGATGAAGGAGAGGAGACATGGAGAGGAGATGAGGAGAGGAAATGAGGAGAGGAGATGAGGAGAGGAGATGAAGAGAGGATATGAGGAGGAAGAACTAATGAGATGCAGCCTTTTATATGTGTGTGTGTGTGTTTGTATTTGTGTATGTGCATAAATGTGTGTGTTGGTGGGCATTAACTATTGTACAGGGCTAATGATCAGTCATGCAAGTGTGTTCCGTCATACATCTGAATTATTTCCCATGGATTAGCATACGATCAAATTAGATATGTAAATGACAGCAGCCTGCCTACAACACCATCAGTACCAATCAACCACACACACACACACACACACACACACACACAACTAATGATATCACTGTTGGCACATCATCTGTCTGTTTGTGTGTGTGTGTGCGCATGTGTGTATGTGTGTGTGTGTGTGTGTGTGTGCCGTTGGCCCATTTGGAGCAGAGCGGATGGATAGAGGGTCTCGGTGGCGGAGCCAATTAGCATGTTAGCGCTTAGCGCTGCGTCTGCTCCCTCAGCAACACTCATCACTGATTCTCTCTGATACTGAAGCCTGCAGAGGGAGAGTGAGTGCAGTATGCTACTGCCAAATGTGTGAGTGTTTCCTTATTACCGTATATACTGTATGAGATGTGTGTGTATCTCTCTGTGTGCCTTATTACCGTATATACTGCATGAGGTGTGTGTGTGTGTATCTCTCTGTGTGCCTTATTACCGTATATACTGTATGAGGTGTGTGTGTGTGTATCTCTCTGTGTGCCTTTTTACCGTATATACTGTATGAGATGTGTGTGTGTGTATCTCTCTGTGTGCCTTATTACCGTATATACTGTATGAGATGTGTGTGTGTATCTCTCTGTGTGCCTTATTACCGTATATACTGTATGAGATGTGTGTGTATCTCTCTGTGTGCCTTATTACCGTATATACTGTATGATATGTGTGTGTATCTCTCTGTGTGCCTTATTACCGTATATACTGTATGAGATGTGTGTGTATCTCTCTGTGTGCCTTATTACCGTATATACTGTATGAGATGTGTGTGTATCTCTCTGTGTGCCTTATTACCGTATATACTGTATGAGATGTGTGTGTATCTCTGTGTGCCTTATTACCGTATATACTGTATGAGAAGTGTGTGTATCTCTCTGTGTGCCTTATTACCGTATATACTGTATGAGATGTGTGTGTATCTCTGTGTGCCTTATTACCGTATATACTGTATGAGAAGTGTGTATCTCTCTGTGTGCCTTATTACCATATATACTGTATGAGATAATGAGCCTGTGGAGAATATAATATAATATGCCATTTAGCAGACGCTTTTATCCAAAGCGACTTACAGTCATGTGTGCATAAATGTTTACGTATGGGTGGTCCCAGGGATCAAACCCACTACCCTGGCGTTACAAGCGCCATGCTCTACCAATTGAGCTACAGAGAAGCCTGTAGGCCTAGCTCTGTATGTGATTATGATGTGTGCATATGTAGACGTGTGTATGCATGTGTGTATAATGTATAGATTGTGTGTATGTGTGTGTGTGTGTGTGTGTACTCCCCACCTCTTTAAGGCAGCCCATGAAGTTGTTGCTAACAGGAGATCCAGGGAGGTCAGCAGTACTGGGACTTCCACCCACGTAGAAGAAATCGTCTGAGCCCAACATGGTGTAGTCTTCCTGGGTGTAGCCCGTAGTAGTCAGGATGCCATCCACAGAGATGGTCACCTATGCAACAAAGCACAGGGAAAGGGCACGCTATACTCACACCAAATGCAGCGCTACGCGCTAGCCAGCCAAATTAGTCTGCCCCCTACTGACTTGGTAGGTTCTGGGGAGGTGGTCTGGTCTTGGCTGTGGTTGGTTGGTCAGTGGATTGGATTGATTGGTTAGTTGTATTGGACTGGTCTGTGATTTGATTGGTCTAGCTGTGTTAGGTCTGTGATTTGATTTGTCTATCTGTGTTTGGTTTGTATGAATTGATTGGTCTAACTGTGTTTTTCTGTTATTTCATTGGTCTAGCGTGTTTGGACCTGTTTCCTGTCTGTGTGATGAGGTGGTTTGGGCTTGTTAGAGTATTATAGAACCAACCAGATCTGTCCTGCAGGCAGAACAAAGCAAATCTGAGTCCAAGTCTGTGTCCTTTATACTCAAGCTCGGGTCGAGTCACTAGTCCCTTGATTGGGCTAAAGGCTGCGGTCCAACAATCTTTCAAGATAAGTTCCTAATTTAAAATATCTAGCTACTGAAGCTACCTAAAATGTGCTGTTGTACCACCCGGTACTCTACCCTGCACCTTAGAGACTGCTGCCCTATGTACATAGAGTCATTGAACACTGGTCACTTTAATAATGTTTACATACTGTTCCACCCACTTCATACAGTGCCTTCAGAAAGTATTCATACCCCTTGACTTATTCCACATTTTGTTGTTTTACAGCCCAAATTCAAAATCTATTAAATCTATTTACGTTTTTAGAAATGTTTGCAAATGTATTGAAAATGAAATACAGTGGGGAGAACAAGTATTTGATACACTGCCGATTTTGCAGGTTTTCCTCAAAGTTGGAACAGCCTGTAGTGTGGTTTTCCACTTTAATTTTGAGGGTGACTCCAAATCCAGACCTCCATGGGTTGATACATTTGATTTCCATTGATAATTTGTGTGATTTTGTTGTCAGCACATTCAACTATGTAAAGAAAAAAGTATTTAATAAGATGATTTCATTCATTCAGATCTAGGATGTGTTATTTTAGTGTTCCCTTTATTTTTTTGAGCAGTGTGTGTATATATATATACAGTGGGGAGAACAAGTATTTGATACACTGCCGATTTTGCAGGTTTTTCTACTTACAAAGCATGTAGAGGTCTGTAATTTTTATCATAGGTACACTTCAACTGTGAGAGACAGAATCTAAAACAAAAATCCAGAAAATCACATTGTATGATTTTTAAGTAATTAATTTGCATTTTATTGCATGACATAAGTATTTGATACATCAGAAAAGCAGAACTTAATATTTGGTACAGAAACCTTTGTTTTCAATTACAGAGATCATACGTTTCCTGTAGGTCTTGACCAGGTTTGCACACACTGCAGCAGGGATTTTGGCCCACTCCTCCATACAGACCTTCTCCAGATCTTTCAGGTTTCGGGGCTGTCGCTGGGCAATACGGACTTTCAGCTCCCTCCAAAGATTTTCTATTGGGTTTAGGTCTGGAGACTGGCTAGGCCACTCCAGGACCTTGAGATGCTTCTTACGGAGCCACTCCTTAGTTGCCCTGGCTGTGTGTTTCGGGTCGTTGTCATGCTGGAAGACCCAGCCACGACCCATCTTCAATGCTCTTACTGAGGGAAGGAGGTTGTTGGCCAAGATTTCGCGATACATGGCCCCATCCATCCTCCCCTCAATACGGTGCAGTCGTCCTGTCCCCTTTGCAGAAAAGCATCCCCAAAGAATGATGTTTCCACCTCCATGCTTCACGGTTGGGATGGTGTTCTTGGGGTTGTACTCATCCTTCTTCTTCCTCCAAACATGGCGAGTGGAGTTTAGACCAAAAAGCTCTATTTTTGTCTCATCAGACCACATGACCTTCTCCCATTCCTCCTCTGGATCATCCAGATGGTCATTGGCAAACTTCAGACGGGCCTGGACATGCGCTGGCTTGAGCAGGGGGACCTTGCGTGCGCTGCAGGAGTTTAATCCATGACGGCATAGTGTGTTACTAATGGTTTTCTTTGAGACTGTGGTCCCAGCTCTCTTCAGGTCATTGACCAGGTCCTGCCGTGTATTCTGGGCTGATCCCTCACCTTCCTCATGATCATTGATGCCCCCACGAGATGAGATCTTGCATGGAGCCCCAGACCGAGGGTGATTGACCGTCATCTTGAACTTCTTCCATTTTCTAATAATTGCGCCAACAGTTGTTGCCTTCTCACCAAGCTGCTTTCCTATTGTCCTGTAGCCCATCCCAGCCTTGTGCAGGTCTACAATTTTATCCCTGATGTCCTTACACAGCTCTCTGGTCTTGGCCATTGTGGAGAGGTTGGAGTCAGTTTGATTGAGTGTGTGGACAGGTGTCTTTTATACATGTAACGAGTTCAAACAGGTGCAGTTAATACAGGTAATGAGTGGAGAACAGGAGGGCTTCTTAAAGAAAAACGAACAGGTCTGTGAGAGCCGGAATTCTTACTGGTTGGTAGGTGATCAAATACTTATGTCATGCAATAAAATGCAAATTAATTACTTAAAAATCATACAATGTGATTTTCTGGATTTTTGTTTTAGATTCCGTCTCTCACAGTTGAAGTGTACCTATGATAACAATTACAGACCTCTACATGCTTTGTAAGTAGGAAAACCTGCAAAATCGGCAGTGTATCAAATACTTGTTCTCCCCACTGTACATACATATCTCATTTACATAACTATTCACACCCCTAAGTCAATACTTTGTAGAAGCACCTTTGACGGCAATTACAGCTTTGAGTCGTCTTGGGCATGTCTGTATCAGCTTTGCAAATCTGGATTTGGGGATTTTTTCCCATTATTCTGCAGTAAACAGCAATCTTCAAGTCTTTCCACAGATTTTCAATATGGAATAAGTCAAGGGGTATGAATACTTTCTCGAAGGCACTGTATGTATATACTGTATTCTAGTCATGACTCATCCCATATAACTACTGATGTACAAACCTTTTCTATTCATATACTGTCCATACTGTCTATAGACACCATCATTTACATGTACATTTATATTCCAGACTCTGACATTGCTCATTTTGACATTTCTTAATTTTTTTCTTAAAAAAAAAAAAATCTGGATTATGTGTGTATAGTTTATTTAAAAATTATTGCTAGGTACTACTGCACTGTTGGAGCTAGAAACACAAGCATTTTGCTGCACCTGCAATAACATCTGCAGATCTGTGTACGTGACCAATAGACTTTGATTTGATTTGTAGCTAGGACATTGCACGGGATATACATGTTATGCAAGGGAGAGACTTTACCTGAGTCCAAATTCAAGTCAACACTGGCCGAGCTCCAAGTCATGGAAATCGTCGAATCCTGGAGTCGAGTACTACAACATTGTGGCCTTAAACCATTTAACCAATTTTACCAAGTTCTCTGCCCCCAGGGCATCATGGACAAGATGCTATGCATCTACATTCTGCCCTGGGGGGTGACCTTCACCCCTACATTTCTTTCCTCGTGGCAATATGCCTCCTACCAGTCAATGCAAATATTTAGCTAAAAGCTAGCTAGCTACGTTCATTATTTTGCCAGCTATGGTATTAGCTTATACAGCTAGTTAACATTAGCTGACTAATAGGCAATTTATGCTTCTTGCTGAATCTATTGCGTGGAGCATTGCATGGAGGGAAATTGGAACTCCCCATTCCATACACAGACAATGGTGGTTTGGCAAATTGGGGGAGGTGTTTCTTGTAGATTCATTGCCTCACTTCCGAATCTCCACTCTGAAGACCTCAAAAAGCATAAATTCTCTGCTGTTCTGCCTTAATATCACCACGCGCACAAGGAAAGAGAGTAGGTGTATTCAGTTCACTCGGTGCAACGGGAGGGCGGAATTTGACCCCAAATCAATGTTCCCTATTGTGAATTTTAACTTCTTATGGAAATATTTAACCTAAAGAAAAGCAGCACTCAGTCTTCTCTGTCAGTGGATCCACAACACATTTGGACCTTCATAATCGATCTGCCATGAGAACAACCAAAGGAATAAACATTGGTTCTATAAAACGCAAACAAGCTTGATGTTGACTAGTTCATTAGCAACAATGGCTAACCCACCGAGTAGTTTACAGTAACATGTGTAGTCAGCTCAGGCTGTAGCTAGCTTAGGCATCAGTAGCTAACAAGGATTACCCTGGCTATATTTCATTAGCATAAGTACCTAACCAGGATTACCCTGGCTATATAGCATTAGCATAAGTACCTAACCAGGATTACCCTGGCTATATAGCATTAGCATAAGTACCTAACCAGGATTACCCTGGCTATATAGCATTAGCATAAGTAGCTAACCAGGATTACCCTGGCTATATAGCATTAACACAAGTAGCTAATGTGGTTAATCAGGCATGTGTTAGCAAGGCCTCAACAGAGGCTCAGCAGCCACAATCTGTTAGTGTGTTAGGTAGTAGTTAGTATTCTGATAGTAAATGTTGTTAATGCTGTTAGTAGTGTTGAGTTTAGTGATAAACAAGATGCTAGTAGTGATGATAGTGTTGAGGTTTGGAGTTTGTGAGGGGTAGGGGCTATGGGTTAGAGTGTGTGTATGTGTGCGTGTGGAGTGGGGAGTTAGTCAGATTAGCAGGTCTGAATGATGTGACACATACACTGACTCACACACACAGTGTTAAATGGGTTAGTCATTCCACACACATGCTGCCGCCTCTCGCTGCATGCAGTCAACTGCGGGAGGGAGATAGGAACAACAAAACAAAACAACAACAGAAGAGCCAGGGCTCAGCAGCAGGATGGACAGCATGCAGAGGAGGAATGGAGAAATAGAATAGGAGGAAATTAAAAAGGGGGAAGGAGGTTGGCCTCTGTCTCGTTGTCTAATAGACAAACCAGAGAGGCAGGAACTGAAGTTGCACCATGCAGGTGGAGTGGCCAATTGCGTGCAGCTGAGGAATGAGCCAATCAGGACGCCTACATGTCAACCACGGGGAAAATGGGGTGAACGTCGGAAAAAGGTAAAAGGAAAGGTCGAAAAAAAGAGTGTGGCTAGGAGGAGGGATTGTTAAGCGTAGAGTACCAACCGCCGTCATCCTGTTCTAGTATAGTTTTAGTTGTTCTACGGCTCAGAAAATAATAGAGTAACCGAAACTAGGAAAGGATTAGAATTATATCTACCAAACAATGGAGTTTGTTTACCATAGCGTGTCCAATGCCTGAGTGCTTTGTGGAGAGGGGGAGGAAGGAAAGCAAAAAGTGTGAACAGAACAACATCCGTAAAGGACAAAGAAAAGGTAGAAGGCCAGTGGAGGTTAGAGAGGAGTGGAAAAGGCTAGGAGAAGGCAACAGGTTAGTAGTATGACACATTCCATGGATGGAGGTTAGTTAGTATTACTATCAGGTTAGTAAGTAGTTAGTAGTTAGTGGTTGGTGCACACAGGCAAACAGCAGAAGACTACAGTTAGGAGCACCATAGTGCCCCCAGCCCTGACGCTAACACACACACACACACAGTGAGTTTAAGACAAATACACCCTCTTTCTCGCTGCCTGTCGTTCCCTCTCTCACCCTCTTTATCCCTTTCTCTTTCTCCCTATAATCCCCCCTCTATAACCCCCTCTCTCTATAACCCCCTCTTTCTATAACCCCCTCTCCCTATAACCCCCTCTTTCTATAACCCCGTTTCTATAACCCACTCTCCCTATAACCCCCTCTCCCTTCATCTCGCCCCTCCCCTGCAGTTGCCAGGTTACCTGTCTCAGGTTGCGCGTGACCTTGACATCGTGCCAGGAGTTATCGTTAAACTTCCCGTTAACCGGCTCCACCAGGGCCTCGAAGGCCCCGGACCCCAGGTTGATGACCAGTGACACGGCCCCGTTCTTTAAGGCCAGGTTGACGTAGTCGGCTGACTTGCCCGTGTGGAGCATTAGGCCGTTCCTCTGCAGGGTCTTAAAGCTCAGGGTGATCTCATCACTAGAGGACTGGATGGGGCTGGGAGACAGGTCAAAGCAGAAATACTCTGACCCCTTAAAGGTTGCTACGTAGTCCTCACGGGCTGGAGAGGGGAGGGAGGAAGGAAGGAAGGAAGGAAGGAAGGAAGGAAGGAAGGAAGGAAGGAAGGAAGGAAGGAAGGAAGGAAGGAAGGAAGGAAGGAAGGAAGGAAGGAAGGAAGGGAGGGAGGGAGGGAGGGAGGGAGGGAGGGAGGGAGGGAGGGAGGGAGGGAGGGAAAGAGAGAAAGAGAAACAGAAACAGAGACCAGTCAATGTTGTTAATGTATATTTATAATATAATATCATGGACCTCATGATAAACAGCAATGTTGGTGTCAAATGGAAACCTAATAACCTGAGACATGTTTCTATCTTACTCTTTGGTTGCTCATCCAGTAGTCTGATATGAGTTGAATGGATCATTCATGAGTGGGTTGACATTAAACCATATGGATCTGTCGTGATGCTTCGCTTTCTGATGCATTCAACAGTCATTATAAAATCTGTCACATTGATTACAGAGGGATTCTGTTTAGAGAGTTTGAAATTATGTGTGTGTGTGTGTGTTCTTAAGCACCTATCAGCAACCAGCCATGCCATATCATTTAGCATAATAGAATCAAATGTATGCCAGTATGTGTGCCAGTATGCAAGTGTTAATAGAAATGTATTTGCCAAAGTGTGTGACCATGTGTGTGACTGTGTTCTGGGCGTAATTACCAGCAGCGGTGCGTGGGTAAAGTCACTGAGGAAGCCAAGCCAAGCCAGAAAAAAAGCAATATTACAGCCAAGCCAGAAAAAAAGCCATATTACAACCTATGTTGTGATAATTGCGTTGTTTGCTCTATAACCCATTCGTTCATACGCCACCGTGATGTACAATGAGGCTGTGACAACAAAAAGACAACAGTCACACAGTGGCGGAATAAATTCACTACACATACGTTTGTTTCATCACAAAACCGGAGAGCAACCTCTGTCCAATGAAGTCCACGAAGAAAATATTGCGTGTAACAAATAGTTACATGACCTACAGCATGGTCAAGCAGGTTAATGTTTTCGACAGTTTACTAATCAACTACTGAGCACTGGAGCACTGCCTCTGCTATTCCAGCACCATTTCAACTTAAACATCATCAAATCAACTAGGCTATATATACTTAGTTTAATACAGTGAAAACCAACTTAAAGATACACAAAAGGATTTAGTCCATTCAATGTTGCTAAATATAATGCGGCTGTCCATGGTACTGATTTCTGTCTGTCTGTGTGTGCAACATGCGCAAGTAAAACAAACAATTATTCACCCTACTTGTAGACTAGTTGAACGCCAATGTCATCCTCCTCTCTTTCATGTTGGCAAAACAGTCGGCTCTGTCATACAGTACACTTTTAGTTGTTGTCATAGGCTACCTAGCTAAAATGCTTGCTAGCTTAACTTCCTTGCATGGGCAACAATGAACCAGCTAAGTTAGCTAGCTAGCTAGTGTTAGACTCTAGCTTGAAATGTACTGATTCATGTTACCATACCAGAATGCATTAATTACTTTACATGTATAAGGAATGTACAGAAGTCGGAAGTTTACATACACCTTAGCCAAATACATTTAAACTCAGTTTTTCACAATTCCTGATATTTAATTCAAGTAAAAATGCCCTGTCTTAGGTCAGTTAGGATCACCACTTTATTTTAAGATTGTGAAATGTCAGAATAATACTAGAGAGAATTATTTATTTCAGCTTTTATTTCTTTCATCACATTCCCAGTGGGTCAGAAGTTAACATACACTCAATTAGTATTTGGTAGCAATGCCTTCAAATTGTTTAACTTGGGTCAAACATTTCGGGTAGCCTTCCACAAGCTTTCCACAATACGTTGGGTGAATTTTGGCCCATTCCTCCTGACAGAGCTGGTGTAACTGAGTCAGGTTTGTAGGCCTCCTTGCTCGCACACGCTTTTTCAGTTCTGCCCATACATTTTCTATAGGATTGAGGTCAGGGCTTTGTGATGGTCACTCCAATACCTTGACTTTGTTGTCCTTAAGCCATTTTGCCACGATTTTGGAAGTATACTTGGGGTCATTGTCCATTTGGAAGACCCATTTGCGACCAAGCTTTAACTTCCTGACTGATGTCTTGAGATGTTGCTTCAATATATCCACATAATTTTCCTTCCTCATGATGCCATCTATTTTGTGAAGTGCACCAGTCCCTCCTGCAGCAAAGCACCCACACAGCATGATGCTGCCACTCCTGTGCTTCACGGTTGGGATGGTGTTCTTCTGCTTGCAAGGCACCCCCTTTTTCCTCCAAACATAACAATGGTCATTATGGCCAAACAGTTCTCTATTTTTGTTTCATCAGCCCAGAGGACATTCCTCCAAAAAGTAAGATCTTTGTCCCCATGTGCAGTTGCAAACAGTAGTCTGGCATTTATATGGTGGTTTTGGAGCAGTGGCTTCTTCCTTGCTGAGCGGCCTTTCAGGTTATGTCGATATAGGACTCGTTTTACTCTGGATATAGATACTTTTGTACCTGTTTCCTCCAGAATCTTCACAAGGTCCTTTGCTGTTATTCTGGGATTGATTTGCACTTTTCGCACCAAAGTACGTTCATCTCTAGGAGACAGAATGCGTCTCCTTCCTGAGTGGTATGACGGCTGCGTGGTCCCATGGTGTTTATACTTGCGTACTATTATTTGTACAGATGAACGTGGTACCTTCAGGCATTTGGAAATTGCTCCCAAGGATGAACCAGACTTGTGGAGGTCTACAAAAATAATTCTGAGGTCTTGGCTGTTTTCTTTCGATTTTCCCATGATGTCAAGCAAAGAGGCACTGAGTTTGAAGGTAGGCCTTGAAATACATCCACAGGTACACCTCCAATTGACTCAAATGATGTCAATTAGCCTATCAGAAGCTTGTAAAGCCATGACATAATTTTCTGGAATTTTCCAAGCTGTTTGAAGGCACAGTCAACTTAGTGTATATAAACTTCTGACCCACTGGAATTGTGATACAGTGAATTATAAGTGAAATAATCTGTCCGTAAACAATTGTTGGAAAAATTACTTGTGTCATGCACAAAGTAGATGTCCTAACCGACTTGCCAAAACTATAGTTTGTTAACAAGAAATTTGTGGATTGGTTGAAAAACAAGTTTTACTGACTCCAACCTAAGTGTATGTAAACTTCCGACTTCAACTGTATATGTTGGGGTCAATGAAGGGTAGATGGGAACTAGGAATATGGAAAGAGAGTAGAAGCTTCATATTCTGTTCCATGTTTCTGAGGAGAGAGGTGAACCGTAATTGTTAGTCTCTAATAAGGCAGGCAGGCTGCGGAACTAGGGAGGAGTGAGGAATGCATCTCGAAGGGAAAGTGAGAAGAAACCTCTGGGAGGGGGGCCAGAGAGGCCCACCACAATGTCTCTCCTACTGTAGTAATATCTCACACATACATTCCACACCCACAAAGGTTTTAGTAACAGGCAGGGCTGTGACTACACCAGTGAGAGGAACCAATTAAATTTCTTCCTAACAACAGACATTTAATGGTTGTCTAGATGTGTAAGGAGTTGACCCCGCCTATTAGAAGGTTATAAATATATGTGCTTGTGTAATCATGCCTAATATTTGCAGCTGTATGACCCAGTGGGTGAATAAACTTGGTTTGAGCTTTTTCTAGTTTGTCCGTTTGAGTTTTTACTCAGTTTGTTCAGAACCTAACAGTTGGCGTTGTCGGCAGGATTCACCACAATTTATAATCGAACTGGAGAGTCTGAATCAGTGGAACAGGAGCCGGCACATAAAAACAAGGTAGGCAGAATTCCTACACCTGTTACTACTCATTCTGACATCTTGAGGAGTCGAGAGTTGTAGGCTGAATACAAAATTATGGGATATGGATCTAGAAAGCCTGAGATTATTCAGTAGTCCCATTGTGTTACGACCGGTTGTAGATTTAGGGTAAGTCCCGAACAGGGTGGTCCCTGCGGAGGATAGGTCTTTGGAAGGGTAAGTCCCGAAAGGGTAAGACCCGAAAGGGTAAGTCCTTGGAAGGGTAAGTCCTGAATAGGGTGTTCCCTGTGGAGGGTAAATCCCAAGTGGGGTTGATTCCCTGCTAGACCCATAAAGGGGTGTGTAAATTATCATGCTTGTGTACTAGTACGGTAGGTTGTAGAGAAGTGTTCCACGTAGAAGGACAAAGGAAGGAAGTGCATTCAGTGGAAATAGGAGATCTCTGAGAATATTTGTGTTTAAAGATGGAACATTGTCAGTGAGTTGGAATGTGGATGGTGATAGAGGTTGCCAATAAGTTCTGGAGGAGAGCCTCATCCATGGTTGTAAAAGCAATAGAATATTAGAACATTGTTTGAAAGTGATTTGTGTGTTTTAGCAGTAGCAATAAGGAGAGAGGTCAGTTTATGCCCTATTGGGGTGGGGGAACCGTGACAGATTATGTGGAAATAGGAAGACAACTGTGAATAATTTAGGTTATGTGTGTTGTCACAACAGTGATATTTGAGGCGTGACATTGGTATAAGACATTAGGTCTCCTGTATTCTGCAGTAGAAAATTGGCACACACTTCAGTATTGTTTTTAATACAAGGTATTAGGTCCCGTGACCAAATGATTAGGCACCTACAGTTGAAGTCGGAAGTTTACATACACTTACAGTGAGGGAAAAAAGTATTTGATCCCCTGCTGATTTTGTACATTTGCCCACTGACAAAGACATGATCAGTCTATAATTTTAATGGTAGGTTTATTTGAACAGTGAGAGACAGAATAACAACAACAAAATCCAGAAAAATGCATGTGAAAAATGTTATAAATTGATTTGCATTTTAATGAGGGAAATAAGTATTTGACCCCTCTGCAAAACATGACTTAGTACTTGGTGGCAAAACCCTTGTTGGCAATCACAGAGGTCAGACGTTTGTTGTAGTTGGCCACTAGGTTTAAGATTTTGTCATTAAGATTTCGAGGCTGACGTTTGGCAACTCAAACCTTCAGCTCCCTCCACAGATTTTCTATGGGATTAAGGTCTGGAGACTGGCT